ATTCTCTTATTCTTTATTATTAAATATATTAAGCTTTACCAAGTATGGTTGCAGCTCAGTTCCAGAAGCCTCTAATAAACCGTTTATGTTTGCTTATCTGTGAGGCCACTTACGGAAGAATTGGAACTTTCCATTTTCCAAGATGAAAAAAAATGTTAAGAAACTTCCTGACAGGATTTGTCAGATGGTGGCTTTTGAGTCATATGAAGCACTTGAGCTTGTCAGGTGCAACTTCTGTACCAGGACTATATCATTTGACCAGCACAGATGCTGGTGCTAGTGCAAAGCTGTTGGGCAATCCAAGTCCTACCTATAGGAAAGATTGAGCTAGGAGGGGCCACTGAGGCCAAGAGCACTGCATTGTTCTGAGACTCACCTGCATGTCCAGGTTGTTCCTATAAAAAAAAAAAAAAAAAGAGTTGGGAGGCCTTTAGAAATACCCACAAACCTTTTTACTTTTTTTTTTTTTTTTTTTTTTTTTTTTTTTTTTTTTTTTTGGCACTTTGTCACATGCATTACATATTTCATGGTTCTTGGGATGTGAAGGTCTTCATATACTGCTGGTATGATCCAGAAGTTTTGTCACTTCTGCTCAAAGATGTGGAAAACTTCTTGAGTTTTACTTTATGGGTTTTTATTTCATCAAAGAAAGTTTGGTTCACTCATATATTAATACTGATTTTTGTCATCATTATGCAAAATACATTGTTAGTGAATGCTTGAAATGACATTATTTGGGGGGAAGAACCCCTGATCTTACTACCCTTATTGTTAATACACAGACATGTATGAAAATACTTGTGTATTTCTCACTCACAGTCACTATACATACAAATCAATGAGCAAATATGTAGCTTCTAGAGTAATTGGTAAGAAAACCACACTCGGATGTATAAAACATGCTGATGACTGTTCTAGGTCTTAAATACAGGGTTACTAAAGTTTCATATCATCAATAATCTTTTCAGTATTTATGCTTTATTTAGAAAAACAAAGCTGCATATATCGAACTAAATGGTAATGTGTTATTAACAGGATTTAATATTGATTTCCTCTATGCAGGAAAGTAAGTGGACATCTAGAATACAAGCCCTTCATCATGACCATGAGACAGAAAAGTCCCTGGTAAGTGGCACAGCAAGACACTTAAACTATACGGAGTCTTTTTTCTTATTTTCTTACCTTTTCAGTAGTTCTTGATATGCTATAATACATCTGTTGGATTAGAAAGCTTATATAAAGTTTATAAGAGTGTGTCCTCTTAGATGTATTTATTATCTCTGTGTTTCTGTTATGCTAGAACCTTAAAGTTTCAGGTAAGGCCAGAGTTGAAATGGAATTTATCATGTAAGAATGCGACAGATGCCTGAAACTGTATCTCTGTTTTGAAGAGCTCACAACTAATTCTGTGAGCACTGTGTTACACGGTGTTTTCTGTGTTATGTGAATATGCTGAATAGTTGAGATATAACTTGCCAACATGTAGCTTTCATCTACCCTGTACTGTCTGCCACCATGGACCTATGGCATATGTCTCAATCTTTTTTTCTCTTTTCTATCAGTTCTCTGCTGCTTTTTCTGTTATAGCTTTCTAAGACAGAATCTGTTCAGCTTTTCCAGGAAAAAACACCATGGCATTTTATTTTGCATCAGTTTATATATTTTACTATACAAAGCTTTATTCCTCAGATTTTTTTATGTCTGCATTTCTTTTTAATCTCTTTCCTGCTTTGTTTCTCTTGCTTCTTTTCCTTTAATTTTCCTTTCATCTGCGTGACCATGTAAGAACTGAGCAGATCGTAGTGGTCTGACCAATGCTTCTTCTCCTCTGGCAAGAAAGCAGTGGGGAGGAACCATGGAACATTCCCCAAAATGGATGTAGTTAATGATACACCCACATACAATGCAAGAATAGAATAAGGGAGGAGTAATGTAAGTATTACTTTTGGGATGGTGCACCTAAAATATTGTTCCCTTTCTTCTACATTCAGAGCTAATGTATTAGTTTTATAATGCAAATTCACATCTCATCACCTTAAAATATCATTATTTGACACTATTTATAACTAAAACATTTTTATAGAGTTGTATGCTTTTTCCTGCAATCTTATTTTTAGGCAATCTCAGCAATGTGTTTGTATGTCTCTTTCTTTGTATTGGATTTAGGTAGTCTTCCTTGTGTAAATAAAAAGTGACCCAGATAACTGTTTTGTAATATATGCAAGTCCCAATGAAATCACAGGAGGCATTATGTTTTTGCTGAAAAAAATAGTGTTAAAAATATTTAAGCATGATGCTTGCTTGTTTAAACTTTATACCATTAAACTATTTTATATAATATTAATATGAAGTTACTTTTCTTCTGATTGCTTTCTAGCTGCTGTCACAGATTGAGAAGCTTAAATCATCAGTGAGAGAAGACTTGAATAAAAATAACACCTTTTACAAGAGGAGGATAGAAGAATTGGGGCAGAGGCTTCAGGAGCAGAATGATCTGATTATTACTCAGAAGAAGCAGGTCTGTTTTGTGAAGCACTCTACATTTCAGAGACCATAGGACACAGAGAAACATTTCACTAGCATTTAGTCTTTGATATAGCTCTGGTTGCATAGTTAATATTGCCAATTTGTAGTAGTATTGCTGTAGTATTTTGGTTACACTTTGGAAATTATGTTGCTAAATAAGACAGATCTGGAAGAGAGGCACAGGACTGTACACAAGGAATTAAAACACAACTTGAAAGGATTAATAAACCAAATGTTTTTAATAAATTCAACACAAAGTTAAAAGATTACTAGGTTGTAGTCACCAAAGACCTCTACAGATGAAAAAGTTCTGATAATGAACTGGATTTAATCCACCACAAAATAATCATAATGAAATCTAATGTTTGAAATCTGAAAATACATGACTTCTACACTAAAAATAAAGTATCATATTTATCCCTGTGAGAATAATTAATTAAATTATTACTGTATGACATTTAACAAAAGCAAGTGCTGGATTCTCCACCTGGGATGGCATAATCCTGGTTATATGTACAAACTGGGGAACGAGAGGCTGGTGAGCAGCCCCATGGAAAGAGATCTGGGGGTTTGGGTTGATGGCCAGTTGAGTATGAGTCAACAGTGTGCCCTGGCAGCCAAAAGGGCCAACCATGTCCTGGGGTGCATCAAGCACAGGATAGGTGATTGTCCCACTCTACACTGCACTGGTGCGGCCCCTCCTCAAGTACTGTGTGCAGTTTTGGGCGCCTCAATACAGGAAGGACATCAAACTATTAGAGTGTGTCCAGAGAAGGGCGACCAAGATGGTGAAAGGTCTCAAGGGCAAGGCTTAGGAGGAGCGGCTGAGGTCGCTTGGTTTGTTCAGCTTGGAGAAGAGAAGGCTGAGGGGTGACCTCATTGCAGGCTGCAGCTTCCTCAAGGCGGGCAGTGGAGGGGGAGGTGCTGATTTCTCTCTGGTGACCAGCGATAGCACACAAGGAAGTGGAATGAAGCTGCATCAGGGGAGGTTCAGATTAGACATCAGGAAAAGGTTGTTCACTGAGAGGGTGGTCGGTCGCTGGAACAGGCTCCCCAGGGAAGTGGTCACGGCACCAAGCCTGTCAGAGTTCAAGGATCATCTGGACGACACTCTTAGTCATATGGTTTAGTTTTAGGTAGTCCTGTGAGGAGCAGGGAGTTGGATTCAATGATCCTTATGGGTCCCTTCCAACTTGAGATACTCTGTGATTCTATGAAATTATTTGTTTGGAAATGATTTGTTTTTTCTTAAAAATACACTTTTGTTCAAACATAACTATAGATTTTTTGAGGTGGTCGGTGGGTGAGTATCTGGGTGGTCTGGAGTTTAGACTATAGCATGATTATGTGGTCCTTGCAACCTATTCCTCTATTAGATGGTGCATTGTTTACAAATCAACATCTGATTTTACGCATTTTTCCTAAGATTAATGTTAAACCTATACTTAAGTGCTTAAAGAATTGGAAAGACAAATAATAGCTTTTACATCTCCACCTTAACAAATTTCATAGCTGGAGCAATAGAGGACTTAATCCTAGAAAAATTACTTGCAATAAAGTGACCTTTTAAGACAAAACAGTATGACTATAGATGTGAAATAGGCTCAGAGGGATCTGAGTTTGGTGTTTGTGAAATACAGTTGTGAAGATCATGGAATGCTTTAGGTTGGAAGGAACCTTGAGAGGTCATGTAGCCCAACCCCCCCTGCAGTGAGCAGGGATTGAACCTGTGACCTTGGCATTATTAGCACCACACTCTAACCAACTGAGCTAACCGGCCTGGTCATCTATGTTGTCAAAACCTGGAAACTGGAAGGGCTTGAGAAATGGCTAATGCTTTTGTAGAATCCAAACTGAATGGACAATGAATTGAGGCACTACTGACTATATCCAAATGGATAAATAAAAGAGGACCAGGGTGCAATACCTTGTGCCAGGTCTAGCTGACATTGGCTGTGTGCCTAGATGGTTTCGGTTTAGCTTCTGTTTCGGGAATTGGAGTGCAGAACATTGTTTTAATGATGAAAGATTCACAAGTTTCCTGTTTCCTTTAGATTGAATTACAGCCAGCTTGTTTCCTCTACACTCTTGAGTTTTGTTCAGTGCATGTCTTGGGTGTCAAATAGACAAAACTGCAGAGCAGACAGGAGAACTGTTCATATATTTAAAATCAATGTGTAATTAAGTGTTTCCCTGGAGTGGAGCTAGACTTGCAAAATTGAGCATGAATTGCTGAAGCAGAAAGTATTGAAACTGTAAGTGCTGAAGTGGCCTATAAGCCCGCTCTCATTTCACTTTATAGCTTGTAATAACAGGGTGTACAAAGCACAAGTTCACATAAGTCAACAAACAGAAATAAGTCTTCAACATCTATTGAGCATGAATGAAATATGCATTAGGCAGTAGACTACGGTTCCACGAAAGTAGTATTTTTCTCCCCAAATCATAAACAATAATTTCTGTTATGGAATAGTACTGAAACTAGGTATTTTGCACTAAATGTGCGTTTCTAGATATTGATCATGTACCTTTGTAACTATTCATGTATCTGTCTTTTCTCTTTTAGATAAAAGAATTGTCCACAAGATCAGTTGCAAGCATTAAACCATATGATGGTAAGTTCAAACTGTAAGAAAAAACAAATTTTGTTTCTGATTTCAGCAGCTTGGCTGAAACAAATGTTACAATTCATTAAAAAATACAGACATCAATTTTGGTAACTAAATATTGAAATCAAATCAGTACTGGCAATTTATTTGTGTTTCACAGGGTGCCTGCCTGTTTCCATGCCTTGATTTTCCAAGTTCATATTTTGCAGCTGTTAGGACTTCTAATGTACAAAGTTGATTGCTTGAGTAGTGAAGAGATGTGAAATATAGTAGCTCTGTTTTGTATTATATAAACAACTTCTGGCTTTGATTTATCAAGTGTAATTTTAATTGTTTTTTCATGCTTGACTGTCCTTAGGCTGCAGAACTCACAAAAGGGAAAATACTGAAAGAGTAGACAAAATTGATTAATCTACCAGTTAAGATACAGATGTTCAAAGAATTTTAAGAACTCTGATATTTTTGTCTGTGCAATGCTTTAACATCTGAAGTCCATTACAAATAGCTAAACCCGGTAACACTGTTTTGGGACGTAGTCCTGCACCACAAACACCTGTATAGTTGATGCTGCAGTTGCAGTGACTTGAAATAAGTTTATTGCAAGAGATGATGACAGCTGGATTCATTGTAATCCCAGTCTGGAAACCATCTTGCTTTATTAGCAGGACATTGGCTTGAACTGAATCTAACAGCAGGAAGTTGTTTAGTTTGAGGAGAGTATAGTAATGGTATAGCTGTCTGGCTTCTCAACAGGGGCTGGTCATATTCAGCCACACTGAAGCACAGACCATGGCACACAAGTGAATTTGCTCCTAGGCCCCAAGCTGATCTGAGGAATGTAGAATTGAAGTGATAATTGACTCCAAGGCTACACCTAATACATGTTATATATAAGGTTTGCACTAATTGATATGAAGCGTGGATGCAGCAGATCCTCTTCGGGGAATACAAGTGTCGATCAGGCTAGACTTGACTAAGTAGCTTTGGGCCAGGGCTTCTTCCCTGGGACACGAAGACAACATACAGACATGACCAAAGAGACGATCTGACTAGTGCACGTTCACATTCCAGTTCAGTGACAATTTAATTACTAGTTTCTTTTCCCAGTTCTAGAAGTATTAAAGATGTTAAGCATATCTAGAGACATACTTTTATGTTGTGAAGGACCAATTTTTACTTTGTATAATATTTGTTTACAGTAATATGCCAAAATTGCATAATTTATAAATATGATTAAATACTGCAACATTTATGAATCTGTATATGTCTGTTACTGTTTACTGTAATACATTTACATTATTTTTTACTTTCATGCTATTTTAGTGAACACTACTGTAGAGCATCTTGAAGAATCTAAACCAAGTCTACCACTGATGCATGGTGAGTTTTTTTGATAGGTCCAGATCCAGTACTTTCAAATCTAACACTCTGTCTTCCCAAATGTGTTGCTTGTCAAATCATAGGTGTAAGAGTAGTTATATTGAAAGAACATAATCTGAATTGCTTTGCTGTACGTCAGCATTGAGAATTCCTATGAAGTAATTGTAGAGATGCACTATTGAAAAGAATAAATGAAAAACAAAACAAAATAATTTGAGACTATTTCCTACAACGTGTATAGTTTTAGAGGACTTTAAGGTAAATTAAACTAACTGAGGAAATAAAATTATGTTTTCTTTTAGAAAATATACTTATTTTCTGGTAGATGCATATACTGGATAGGTATGTGCGTAAACTGGAATTTGTATAGAGAAAAATGTGGAGATGTTTGTTTGTAAGTCTTGAAATACTGTATTTTTCATGTGACTTCAAATGTCAAGGAGGAAAAATACAGAAGACATAATCAAAATAGACAGTCATCCTGTCTAGATAGTTCTTTCAGAGTATATCTGTAGTTATATATAGATCATTATTTAGTTATTTTAACTAGTGGCACTGTGATATTCTTTAGTAGTGGGGGGAAGCGATGAGCCTCCATTTATATCGTTTGGTGTTTTGTGAAAATAGTTTTCACTTTTTTCTCAATATGCAAAGTAATGGAGAATATTGTTACCATACTAATATTCTGCGATCAATTAATTCTGTACTTTCACTTCAAGTAGGAAAGTAATAGGAAAAACGAACTTTGAGCAAGTAAAATGTTTGCATGTTAAAACCATTTTATAAATTAATTGAACTATGATAAACTATTTAATAATAAACAATCATTATTTTAAAAACCTGTCAAGGGGAGAGGAAATGGAATTCATCTAATAAAAATGTACAGAACTTTTGTTTTTCAACAAATTCAAAAGGTCTGAAAAGGCATATGGGGAGAAGGAGCAGTATACAACAGCAGCTTTAGATAACTTGATGAGGAATGAAAAACTGATGAATATGAAGTGTTGATTTCAAAATATTTGTTGTGTTAAGAATTATTAAACTAAGGAAAAGAGATTTTTATTATATGGTAAAATTATTTTACTAATACAGAGATTTCTTACTAACCTATGCAAGGTAGCTGTTCATTACTAAAAGCTTTTTAAGTGAAATTATATAGATGAAATGTTGTGTGGAGTAAAGTAATAATATATTAAATATAGATCATTAATAATAGTATTTTAAATAATCCAATTATTTTTCATTCAAACCAGCTTCATTGCACCAACACAGTAGTGCTGGTTCTAGCTAAGAGATCTCACAGGAAGTAGCTTAGCTATTGGCCTGAATTTAAGAAACAAGTTTTATGAAGAATGTTGCTGCTACGGGCTTACACACCAAGCTTGTCAAGCATTGCTTTCTTAGTGCATTTACTTTCATTTGGACTGAGGAGGAAAACAGTTCTGTGAACATTAGTATTTTCTGTACTCTGACCATTTGTGTCGAGTCATTCAGATCTTTCCTTATTTCTTGCTGCTCCAAATATGAAGTCTGGGACGCCTTATGCAACTTCTCAAGATAGAAAAGGCTGTTCCTGCCATTGATATACGATTCACTATCAGTCTATTATGAAACCTCAAAGAAGGTGTTTCCTTCAGATTCCTTTGCTGATGATTATTTTATTTATCTCTGCAGGTCTCTCTGTCTGTCCCCTTTCTTCCCTTCTGGATTTTTTTTAAACTTACCTAATTTCTGGATATAAAGGTTAGCAGAAATTAAAGTGTCTTTCCCAAAATTTTGACAGCTCCTCAAGGGATTGACTTACATACTGAATTAAGACATGGCTGCATCTCGTGCCATTATGAAAATGAAAGTGCTTGCTGGTAACTTCTGTACACGAATTTATTTAGCACAGAGCATCTCTGAAATCACAAGAGCTATAGTTTACCTACCAAGCGATTGCCTGAACATGGAATATCTTCCTTTTCTTTCTTTTCTTCTGTTTGAAAGAAAATTATTTCTGGAAAAGGCTCTCTTATGTGAACTTAAGTACACTTTTCAAAGTTGCCTAGAAGCTTTTGCATCCTAAGATTAGTTCTGCACATCTTAAATCTGAGCTGTGAAAAGATACCCAAATTACAAATGAGATGTCTTAGGTGTAAAGTAATGCAAAAGCTGTGTTAGCCTGGTGCTCTTGTGTTCATGTTGTTCATGTTGTGTTCTTGGGAGAGCTAACAGTCTGCCTTTAATGCCATCCTGGCTGACCATTCTTCTCTCACTTTCTGAGCTAGCTGTAGGGTTTTGTGCAGATATAACTTGTCTTATCTTCAGAGATTACTTAAGTCTCACAAAAAGGCAACGGATTCAGTATGATTTTTTAATCATATTTTAAAATCAGACTTTGGCTCCTATGTTACTCTTGAAATGTTGATCCTTGTTCAATATTTAATCTTTGTTAGGTCAATAATGGTAGGTGGAATTGAAGACAGTAGTTAAAAAGCAAAGATAATAATGAGATTGTCCATTAAAACCTATGACTCAGTCTTCAAACTTGGTGTGGACTAAGGCCCAGCTATCATTAGGGACATAACTGAAGCACCTGGGGAAAATTTAGTCAAAGTAGTCTCCCTAGGCAGTTGACAGAGAAAAGGGGCACCTTCAGAGTTTGGTTCAGCTGAACTAAGATCTGAATTGCTCTTTGAAGTTGCCTGTGTCTCTTCGTTGACTGTAGAAGGAGTCTGAGATGACTAGGCTCCTAACTTAGAGGCCTCAGGTAAGTCAAAAATTTTGGTTTAAAATTAATATTTATGCTGCTTATGTGCAGTATATGGCTTCCCATTGATTAGTTAGGAGAAAGATATATGAAGTGCATCAATTCAAAGATGATGGTCAAAATCACAGATTAAGTCTGGCAGCTCTTTGGATGTGAAATTTGAGTATAAATTAAAGGAGTAGATAATGACTATACCTATGGCTTACATTCCTTACATATTTAAGAAGCGCAGCAATTTACAGCAAACAAGTTTTACGTTTCATCCTTGGTTTTCATATTGCAAGTGCAAAGTGCTTCCTGTAGGTGATACTCCGCTATAGATAATTGTAACACTTCTCTCAGGCTAAAAGTAGTTTAGCATTTCATATTTCAGAGTAAATAGACAGGATTTCTCCTTTAAATATAGGCCAGAAGACCACTTTTCCAATACTAGGGTCAGAATATTGTTTTTTTTTAAACTAGTAGATAAGAACAGACAAATATGTGATACACTTGAAATGTACACAGCCTGAACTCTTCATTATTGTTAGGTATATTTTCCTATTCCACCTGCACAGAAATTGTCTTCAAATATTATTTAAAACTGATATTTAATGATTTGTCAAAGTATGCCAGGCACATAATGTTTCAGTAGTATAATTATCCACTGAAGAAATTAAGACAACCTGTATTTTTGATACAACTCATGTATCTTTCCACACACATTAGCTGGCAGAAAAGATATTCTGGAAAATGTAGGATGACACACACATCGTTGTGGAGGTCATCTTAACATTGCTGGCCTTAATGACAGCTAGTATTAATATGGCTGGATTCAGGCCAGTGAGCTATGAATATGACCAGCCTTCATTAAGACTGGTGTTGGTAGCTGCTATTTAGGTAGGGTCAAGCCTGAGGCTGACAGGAGCTGTTCTTGTGAGGATAATGGTAGGGTTAGGTTTTGGACTGAGGCTGGCTGATGACATCCAGTGAGGATATGTCCAGAGTTTGTCACTGGGCTAGGTGTAGGATTTAGCAATGGTGCTGTTTGGTTAGGGTCACGTGTGGGACTGTTGGGGAGGACCAAATGAATTAGGTTTAGACTTAAGGTGGTTCATGCCAGCATAAGAAGTTGATCTATGGCAGGGTCTGCAAAGGGCTGGCATCACCCAGAGACATGTGGTTATTGCTGAGCCAAGGTTTTACAGGGATCACTGAGCTTGGGTTAGGGTTGGGATTAGGCTTAGGCAGACATTGATTGGCAAATGAGAGTTATGCTTGAGTTAAGAAGGATCAGTTAAGCAAGGCAGCAGCAGCAGAGCCTGACTGAATTGGTCTAAGTATGGAGTTGAAATTTATCTCTATTTTGTAGCCAAGAAAGGGGTGGACATGAGAGCTAGGGTTCAAGCTGTGTCAGTGAACAAAGTATAATCAAGGTTGCATCTGAACTGCAAGGCTGATGTAATCTCCAGTTCTACCAGTACTCTGGTAGTCCAGATCCAGCAGGTGATCTGCTGGAGCACAACATGCCTCCTGCCTTGCTTCAGCCTCCTGGGATCCACTTCCAGTAAGGCAAGGACAGTTTGGGTGTTCCTCTGGAATGGGGAACAGAGAAGTGACTAAGAACAAGTAATTTATGTCTAGGTGTGAGTCCAAAAGGGAAGGTAGCAGTCTGTCTAGGTTCAACACTCAGGCTGGGATGAAAAGGAAAGCTAGGAGTAAGATCCTGGCCAGCAAGGTCTGATGTTGAGGTAAAGCAGCACCCACCAGGGTCAGCTAAACTAGATTTAGGGCTGATAATTGACAGGAAGGTAACTGGCTCTACTTAAGTCAGAAGTTGTAGTGATGATTTGTTTAAGGCTAACGTTGGATTCTGGCTTGGTGACATTTTGGGCAAAGAGGTCTGATGAACTAGAGGTTCAAGGTTACAATAATTCAGAGTAGTTAGGATTTCAGTCTGCATCAGCAGGATTGTTTTAGATACGAAGTTAGCAAAGACTGCTTTGTACAGATTTGAGGCTTAGCTGGGTAGTCAGACTTAAATGATTCCTAAAAATAAGCTTGCTAATATTTAGATGCTGCTGATTTCAAGGATGTGCACTAAGGTAAGAGCTGAGAGGTCTGATCAGATGGCTAGAAGAAGCACATTTCTGGTAAACACAAGGAGAGGGCTCCTTAGGGGGCTGATCTCCATACCTGTCTATAAACCAGAGGAGCAGTGAACCAAGCTGCTTTTTCTGACATTGGATTCCAATGTGGTTTTTTAATA